AAAAAAAAAAACGCATTATGTTCTTTAATTATCACCAAATTCAAGAATCTTTATTTGCCTTTGAGATTGTAAGGGTCACTTAACCCTAGTTTAAGGTTCATTTTTGTGGTTTAACGCAAAAATTAAATATCAATGGATGTCACATGTCCAAAGTCTGTTCATTTAGATTGCCATGATAATTATTTTACGTGTGGGATTTGTGCTTATGAGAAATCTGTAAGTGAAATGTTCAAAATAATGGGTTGCACTCATTTTTATTGCAAACAATGCATGGCTAATTACATAGCCAAAAAAACTCCAAGAGAACATTTCTCAAATTCCATGTCCCGTTTCGGGGTGTAACGGGTTATTAGAGCCATATTATTGTCGTTCAATTTTGCCTAATAATGTGTTTGATAAGTGGGGTGACGCGTTATGTGAGTCTATAATTTTGGAGTCTGAGAAATTTTATTGTCCGTTTAAGGATTGTTCTGCACTTTTGATTGATGAATGTAAGGGTGAAATTTGTGTTACTATTACTCAATCAGAATGCCCAGAATGTAGAAGGTTATTTTGTGCTAAGTGTAAAGTTCCTTGGCATTCAGATATTTTGTGTGAAGAATTTGAAAATTTGAATAAAGATGAAAGGGAAAGGGAAGATATACAGTTAATGCAACTTGCTAAGAGTAAAGAATGGCAAAGATGTCCAAGTTGTAGGATTTATGTTGGGAGGTCTAAAGGTTGTGCCCAAATGAAATGCAGGTCAGTTAGTCAATATGATTTTCATGTTTTTCTATTTATTAGAGAGTTGCTATGCAGGATAAAGTTGCGTACAATAGACGCTTGTAGTTCCGCCCTTGCCCGAAACTCGCTCATAGAGGGAGCTTAATAATATCGGGCTGTCTTTTTTGGAGAGTTGCACTGCAACGTCTAGCAAGTAGTCTCTGACTTAGTACTTCAATTATTCTCGTATGATCCCTTCGGTAATATCCGACAAAATTGAAATAATACAAAGAAGATTAGTATAGACCCTGTGTAAGGATGTAATTCATCCTATTGATATTATTAAATAGATAAAATAGTGATTTACGGTTGGTGAAATATTTTACAATAACAACAAACTCGATATAATTTCACAGTAGGAATCTGGAGAGGGTATTAAATGTGTGAGATTATTACTCCTTGAAACCGACTGGCCTTGACTCTTTATTTTGCAATTACAATCAACTCTCTCTATGTAAATATTACAAGCAAAGAAAATTTACAAGCAAAAGTAAATATTACACGACAAAAAGAAAAGAAAATATAAGAAACTATAAAAGGAGTACAATATGAAATTCCATGTGGTTTCAAATTGAAGAACGTTAAGGGGCTGTAGGAAAAGCCAGCGACAAATCCACGAAATAGCAAAGAAAATATTCCCTACAGCCCTGTCTCACCCTTTTGCTTTTTAATAATTACTTATCATCATTATTACTTGGTTTGTCTTTTTATTGAGCGTGTGTGCTCATTATTGTTATGTTATTATTTTATTAGTAATCTTTGATAAATTTAATCGTTACAGTTAAGGCTACATTAGTAAAATTATCAGTCGTGGTACAGTTAAACTAACCAATAAATATGTTATAAATCACCACAAACGATATAATCAATTCAAATATTATATTTATAAAATAATACAATACAGTACAACATAGTACATATAATACATTATGAAACAATTAGTAACTAACATCAAAACAAGCTGTTAATAGTGGTACGCCAATAAATAGTATATTCTTTTAACTTCTTAACTTTCTTATTATGTGTAACGAACTATGGTGAGTCAATGTACATCAAACACAAGTATTTAGTTCCTTTACAGTGGCCACACTGACGTGATTTATATTGCAAGAACTATATCATGCTTTGGAACACGTGAGAAATCACACCTCTCACGGATCAAGTCAAATAGTAGAAAATATTATTAGTGAAGAAAATATATCGGAGTTAGATTAGGAAATACAAGGATTAGAAGTAGATATAAATTAGCAAGAGTAAAGGATAGAAAAAGTTTAGTCTTCCTTGTTTACTTCCTTTACATTTGAAGGTTATATTTTTATCTTTCTTAGTGAGTTTTCTTGCTTCTTCTAAGGCTATATCTACTTCAAAGTCATCTTGTGTTATTTCTTCATTCATAAATTCAGTGTTTTCTAATGTACTTTCTGTTTAGTCATCTAGTTCTTTTTAGTTTGTATAATTATAATTTGTAAACCTGATTGATGTTTCTCCTTTAGCATTTGTATATATTAGGTGAGATTCTTGTTTTAATATTTTTGGCTTTGCAAATTCTTCTAATTTTCATTCTAGTTCTGCGTATAAATTCAGATTTTCTAATGGATTAACCTATATATGTACGTAAAATAGAGGCCTAGCAGACTTTAATAAGACAAATAAATACGACTTCGGTTTTCAAAAACGTAATGTGAATATGTAAGCCATTTGAAACGGCTGGTTTTTAGAGTCATAACGGTGTTTTTCGTCTTAGAGCAGCAATAAACCGTAATTGTTTGGATTTAATTATTTAGTATTAAGCTGAGAGGAAAAAGTAGGTTAATGTATTGATTTTGCCGAAGGGTAATCTAGTCTCTTAATGGTTATTTTAGTCTTCCAATCTCTTAACGCCGACTTCATACTTATAATATAGTATGATGATAATATAGTATGATTATTAAAAATTAACTAGAGATGGTGGTGAAGTCCCAAATATGTTTACATTGTTTACAATTTCTGGCGAGGGCGGATCTAGTGCAAAGGTTACGGGTTTACGTGAATTCGGTAACTTTTAACTCGATCTTGTATTTGTACTAAAATTTATTAAGCGTATAAGAATATTTAACTTGGAGCCCAGTTCGTTGATCTAGCTATTAATGTACAATTAATTTGATATAGCTATAAGAACTTATAAACTTAAAATCTTGGATTCGTCTATGATTTGTGGATGCTAAATTTCACTAGTTAATCTAATAGTCACGTCTAACATTGTTAATAAATACACGAAAAAATTAAGGGGATTCAACGTATAGTATTTTGCAAATAGTGGACGACTAATTAGTTCTCTTTTTTCTTTTTCTTTTCGATTTTTTTTGTTTCAAACACAAAGAGAATGAATATTTTATTTCGTGTTGTATGTGATGCAATTCCTACTTTCTGCAATCAAGTGATCCAACATAAAAGTTTTAAACGAAGGTCAAATAATTCAAATTTGATAAACAGCATTCCAGGATTTTAAAGCTAACGTTGAAAATTGAATTTAAATATACCATCAAAGATGTTATTACTGTTGAATTGCTATAAATTTAACCCTAAAAAACGAATACTATGAATTATTTTTTTCTAAATTCAAATCCAGGACACTCAAAAAAAAAAAAAAAAAAGTAAAACAAAATAAAAGCAACATACAATCTTTTTTTCTCAACTCCAAATATTAGCTCATGCTTAAGTTTTTTTTTTCTTCCCTAATTGCTTCATCAAATATTGATGAATTCCAGATCTTCCTTGACCTTATTTTTTTGGGTTCAAGCATCTAGAGTCCGAAACCGACTAGTCCGATTAATCCAAATTCGTATTGTAAAAAAGTCCACTATGGGGGGTTTTAGCCCGAGTTGCCACAAAAGACTCAATTCCCAGGATCGAGGACTTGAACCCGAGACCTCAGATTCAGGTATAAGTAACATTTACCATCCACCACTCTTTGGTGGTAGCTACATCTTTCCAAACCTGCATAACTGCAAATATACAAAAAGAGTTCTCAATAGACAAGTAATTTTGCTCATTGTGTTGGAAAGCTTCAAATTTGAGGTTCCATATATTTAGGTAACAAACTACCAAAAGTTATAATCTTCTATATTCAGACAAAATGTACTTTAATCAGCAAAACTTAAGAATCAAATAACTAGAAGACAGACACTTCTAAGTTCAGATTTCAGCTCTTTCTTCAGTTTTCTCCTAAGGCAGCACAACTCTGAATATCTAATCCGCAATCCAAATACTCCATTTACGAGGATAGAAAAAGAGTCATCAAAACAAAATCAGTAGAAGAAATCGCGCAGTTGTAGTTTTTGCACCCCTGCTGTCGCAATATCTACAATCCGTCCAATTTACCTGAAAATTACAAAGAGAGCATCTCAGTATTAGTTCTGTTATTTTCCCTCTGCCAAAAAGGGTCAATATATTTCTAATGGCACAAAGACATACAGCTTTTTCAAGCATACAACCAAAATAGAGAACATATCAGGACAAGCTGACAAATGCAAGTCGCTCAAACAATCAAACCATAGTTTCTCCGGACACAAAATTCGAGGCCCAGGATTTCAACTTTATAGGTTCTGAACTTAGTGCGACGATTTCAAATAAGGGAAGTTTAATACGAGCTACCCCAAGAACTGGTATTACAAGTCATGAGAAACTAAGAAGCTGGTATGAAGAAAATGCATTATCTGTTTGAAAAGGGTTCTAGAACTCAAAATAACCGATTGTATCGTTACTTCAAGGCAACGGTAAAATGAGACAATAATAATGAAGTCTACCCGTCATAATATAAATTAAATGCAACAATAAGTTTAATACTTTGTTAATACAAATATATTTGTGCAAAAGCTAATAGGTTAGCCGAACTCGTAACTAGAGTTCTAGAACTCGAAATAACCGGTTGGGTCGTTAGATCAACGCAACAGTAAAATGAGACAATAGTAACGAAGTCTAACGGTCATAATATAGATGAAATGCAACAATAAGTCTGATACTTTCTTAACACAAATACATTGTTTGAGCAAAAGCTACTGGGTTCAGCCGAACCCGTAGTCGGGCTTCTAGCTCCGCCCCTGCACAAAATGAAGGCTCTTCCAAGAATGGTGAACTATAAATATGCATAATTATGGACATGTATTCACCACCATATCAAATTAAATTCTAATCGTAATATGTGATCAAAATTAGAGGAAGAGGCAGTTAAGTAAAACTCACCATTATATTCTAACCAGAGTGCTACTTCCATTGCGGACTCATATTCTTGGGAACAAAAAGAAAAAGAAAAAACAGTACTAATAAGTTATAAACAAAGTACGTTTTTATGTACCACAGTGACTGCAAAAATGATTTGTTGACTCAGCTCCACATTTGTAACAAAAGTAACAGCCACACCTGCAAATGTAAAAATACAATTATGCATCAAAATTTGGCTACAAAGAGATAAACTAAGTCTGCACTAAACCATATTGCCCATGAGTGATGAATTGATATGCGGTCGGTAAGAACTTTCCTTTCTGCGGGCAAACTAATAAATCCAACTGTGAATCTACAGACTACAGTTACCACTTCATATCACGATTCGTTCTGTTAACATGAACAATTTTTTTTTAAACATCCACACATAGATATCATTAGGTACTCTTTTCTTTATGGTTACCAATATAAAAATGCAGCAGAGAACTCTAACAATGACATCAAAATACACAGACATAATTTTCAACATGATTTATTACTGGTTAATGGTTCTTTTTCTACTATTAAAATGCAAGAACAAAACAAGTAATTCACTAGTTTTCCCAATCACCTTAACTTATTCATAATTTAAAGATCATCAATCAACTATAAGGCAATAACATTATTAATGAACTTTATATACTAAATACAGATTTGTGCTCTTTCCTTGGCCAAATCTATTATTACTACCATTTTTAATTGAACAGCAGTAAGAGTATTAAACCTTAAGTGATTACTACTGAATCTAATAAGCGCACATCAGAAGCCTAGTGAGACAGAGGGGCTATAGTTAAAGAATTTAACACAACTACATACACAATTCTGCCCCTTTTCATCAGTCCCTAATTTCAATATGGCAAATCTGAAAGATCTCTATATAGGGTGCTAAATGTGTATACTTTAATCCAAAAAAAATCATTTTTCAGCATACAAAATATTACACCTAAGTGTTTGTATATATCGAAATTTGAGCTTATACAGCAGTGCTAATTTTTCTACTTTTAGCTGCTTTTTTTGTCTCTTGGATTGATGTCAAAATGAGTTATTTCAATCTCATTCTAGAATTCCTCAGACATTTTAGGTGGAGTATTTTCACTAAAACTTCTAAGCTCCAACCGCTATCAAACTAATGCCTATACCATTTAGTACTTCTCGTATAACATAAATACCATAGCAGATCAAATCCAACGAGCCTTTCAAACTAGTACTATTTCTATCATCATACAAATTTTAAAACACAAATATAGAACATAAAAAATCATATGGACTAATTAACTAACCTGCAAAGCATTTGGGCACAACCATCAGACCTTGCCACATACATCCTACACTTCGGACATCTCTGCCATTCTTGCCCTTTAGCAAGTTGCATAAGTTGTATATCTTCTCTTTCCCTTTCATCTTTGTTCAACTTCTCAAATTCTTCACACACAATCCCCGAATGCCAAGCAACTTTACACTTAGCACAAAACAACCTCCTACATTCTGGACATTCCGATTGAGTTATAACAAAATTTCCACCCTCGCTTTCATCAATCAAAAGCGCGGAACAATCCTTAAACGGACAATAAAATTTCTGGGACCCCAAAATCATTTTCTCACATAACGCGTCACCCCATCTATCAAACACTTCTTTAGGCAAAATTGAACGACAATAGTACGGCTCTAATAGCCCGTTACACCCCGAAACAGGACATGAAATTTGAGAAATATTCTCTTGAATTTTTGAGGCAACATACTTAGCCATGCATTCTTTGCAATAAGAATGAGTGCATCCCATTATTTTGAACATTTCACTCGTTGTCTTTTCGTCAACGCAAATATCACAGGTAAAAATGTCATCTTGGTCATCATCTATATCAATAGACTTCGAATTTGAACACCCTTTTGAACATTTTCGTAAATTTTGACTACCCAAAATTTGAATCTCATCATCTGGATATTCTCTGGATAGATCAATAAAGACCTTTTTAGTTCCATTGCTGCTAGGTTTTGAACAAAAAGATGCTACAATCTCAAGTTCGACGTCTCTTTTCTCTAAGTATTTTTCACTAATCTTGATTCCTTTACCATTTGAAGTTTTTGGGGTTTCATATATCACTGAAATATCATCATTGTCGTCGTTATCTTCGACTATATCTATTATTTTCACGGCCGAAGTAGTTGCCACTTCCATTGCTTATTAGTATTTGCATTAAGCAGCAAGAAAGAATGAACCAGATATATATTATAGGGTAAAGGAAAGTATGTAATTTTTTTGGAATTTGGGTGATGGAGAAGACGATGAGTTTTTAGGGATTTCAAAAGGTAACGTTGATTCCACTTTTGCTGTGAGAGTGAGGAGTACCCCGCGGCGGATCCACCCAGTAGGGTGGTATGGCACGGTTAAAATTATCATATATTTATATAGAAATTTTCTTAAACGAGGTTAAATATTTGATCTCGTCATCCCCAGTTGTAAACAAGATAAAGGTGTTATCGGCTGTACACCTTTTTAAAAGTTTTCTCGTGTGTAAATTCAAGCTCGAATTTGTCTTAAACATTATCTGACTTTTCCTTTTGATTGTGCTTTTTATTTTCTTTGTCCCAATACTTTTCCTTTTTGGCTACCTCCTAATTTTTTATTTATCATTTATTATTTTTTTATTTATATTTTTTCCTATATTCTAATTATTTTATTTGTGATCTTTAACAAGATCACTCAAAAAAGAGCCTCCAAATTAAAATTTTCATAAAATAAGCATCTCTCTTAATCTCAAATCTTTTAATTTTTTTCTTTCAAAATCAATAAACTTGGGTCTTGATAGGAATTTTGGATTGAGATCAAATTTAATTTTTATAAATTTTTTATTATAACATAAAAATTTGTGCTATTCTATAATTGTTAAATACAACTTAAATCTCTT